AATCAAAAACGCGCATGGACGGCCCAGATGCATCGCGCACGAATGATCCAGATTGAATCACGCACATACGACCTAGATTAAAGATGATGGACGGCCCAGATCAAAAGCAAATAAGTATAAATAACCCCATCCGCACTCAAACCCTAACCCTAGCCGCTAGAGCCCATCGTCGGAGAAGACAGCCCAGCTGACCGCCGTTATCCACCGCCGTACCAGAGCAATTTTCGACTGCCAAACGAGGTAAAAAAATTTTTTCTTGCAGGAAATTCATTTTAAACCCACCCATGACCAAATCGGAGTGAAAGAATCAGCCAATTGGCCGAAAAATACTGCCGAAGGTCAGCGACGCCGTCGCAGGGTGTTTCGATTTTCGCATCCGATGAGGTTCTTCCCGATTTTTGTTCGATGTGATTTTTTCACTGTTGTGATCACTATTTCCTTCTCTACATGTTAAGCAGAGCAAAATACCCAACAACAACGTGAGCCAGAGAAGCCGCCGCACTAGAGAGCTCCACCGCCGGTGAGTTTCGATTTTCTACGTTTTTTGGCCCATCGATGGCCCTAAGTGTGTTTTCTCACAAGAACCGATGCAAGTTTGGCTAAATTCAGTCAAAAACAACGAACTCGAGGTGGATCGCCGCCGCGGGCGGCAACCGTCGTCGGAGCACGGCGGAGCCGCCGTGCCGAATTTTTAAATTTGGCCGAGTAGGCACTGAGATTGATTTTGGGTTATTTGAGATATTTGTAGGTACCGTAAGCGCGTTTCAGTTCCCGAAGGAAATTCATAGAACCCAAGGACCGCCCGTAGACGCAATAATCATCTAGTTTTCGGTATCGAATCAAGTAAGGACCCCTCACCCTATTTTTTATCATGGGATTGAAGTTTGAATAAATGATAATACTGTACTTTGTATAAATTAAATAGATAGATATGTATAATTAATTAAGGGTACTAATAGAGTTCAAACCGGACATTATTCTCTGCCGATTCCTGTTTGATTTATTTTACAGTTTAAATGCATTATGGTATCTGGTCTATCTATTCTATGGTTTTAAATGCATGTATTACTGTCTTACTTGATTATTGTGTGATTTTAGAATTTAAGATATGATTGTATTATCGGGCACATGTTTGTTGTTTATGTGATTATGTTTAACTTGGTAGCAGAAACTAAAAGAAAACAGATAAGGTAATAACCTCACTAGATATCCTGAGAGATGGTGAACGGACCGAGTTCATAGGGAACCCTATCGTGAACATTGTCTCATACCGGGCGAGATATGGAGACTTGGTCATTTGGCACTCATACCAGACGGGATATGGGGACGACCCACTTCACCCTCATACCGGACGGGGTATGGAGACGGCTCTGAAATTAAGATTGTTAATGAAAAGAGTTCACGTGTAGCGAGGACACTCCTATGAATCTTCGTGGATACTAGTAGACTAGTGAAAATGAGAAATGGTGATAATCAGTTATTGTTAATGAATACAGATTTATGATATATTTTATGTTACTGATTATGCATGAAATTGTGATCTGCATGATATTATTTCTTCTATAATTTGTTTTCATAAATTTCTCGATGGTAAGAAAAAGGGTAAATAGTTTTATTTTAAATAAATGTATTGGT